GTTAGGTTCGATCGATCTGGAAAGTCAAAGAAGTCTAGCACTCGTTAACTATATCTTAGCTCCGAATTCCCTTTCCTTTTTTGCTTTTTTTCCTGTCAGTCACCAAGTCTATAGAGTACTTCCCGAGTAGATAGTTATTGTGGTAGACCTCATTTTAGGTTAAGGCGACGGTACCTTGATGATGAATTTAGTTGGCAGGAGCTGGTCCACAGCTACATAAGTACGGAGTGGTGTGCATCGATATGACATATGGAGATAGTCAAACTCTGGCTATCTCTCGAAGTCACTCTGGAGGGAAGGTCGGGGCGGAGGACCCGCGCTCCGAAATAGCAAAAAGAAGTATAACCAATGTAGCGAGAGTTAAATAGCTGATCCAAGGCGGTGGTTGCTTCGCGGAATCTCTGAGTGCTATTCAGATCCCAGACATAACCAACCGTCTCTTGTTTCCCAAGCGAGGAGCAGCCTGTCTTCAGGGTGCTATTTCGCGGAAGGAGTAGTATTTAGGAAGTTAGACAAAAGAAATATATCTTCCTTCTTGAAATAATACCCACAATAAAATGCAGAGAGCCGGAAGCCGGAGAAAGCTCAGGATCAGTTCGCTGTTCTGGCTCCATTTTCAGCTGCAAGACCCCAACAAAAAAGAGACTGGAGACATCTTCTTGTCGTTCATTGTTCAAAATTGATAGCCCCAACTGCGCCCTGAATCGGTGAACCTGATCAGCTGCCTTGCTAATAGCTCCAACTTAAGCTTTAACATGCCTCTGTAGAAGCTAGTATCTGCACATTTGTGTGTTTTTCACCTCTCCCAGACACTAGCCGTTAAAAATGGACGGCGAGGACCAAGTCTCACAAGCTGGTGTAAGATACTATGGTTCATCCAATAATGGCGTGGACCAATTCCACAGGCTGAGCATGTGGAATTCGGGGTCTAAAGGATTGATGGGTTGAACCTCGAAAACAGCATTTTTAGCTGGCAAAACGTGGCGTATTTTTCTTCGAGCGCCACATTGCGCTGTATCCTTTGACTGGTACGGAGTACAACATCCGTTAGACAGCGGCGAGCCTAAAGCAGATTCAATCTTTTACTTGCCTGTACTCGGAGCCAGCAAGCCACGCTTGAGTTGACGTGTGGGACTGTGACGCAACTTCCTCGAGCCACCGCGGATATGCCTGAGGTTGAAAATGCGGCCCCCATGTCCTGAGGCCGAGAACTCGGAAAGGAACCAAAAACTGAGGCACCGCTGTCCTCTTTCCTTTTTTCCTTTTTGCCTTTCTTTTATTTCCCCCTCCACCAAGCAGTCGCCAAGTAATCCTCTAAGAATAGCCCAGGCTCTTGGGCTGCATTGCATTCCATTCCTGCGTCCCCTTCGGTAAGTTATCGGTGCCCTATTTATATTTTGTAGCGATTAACCATCATAACAGCCCTGGATACTTCTGGGAGAACGAGCAGGCGTCCATGCCAGGAACTAACAGGAGCTGAGCTGTCACATTCCATGCAAGTTGTGCGCAGGGTCTTGTTTTAATCCTGTCAATCCTGTCAAAAGAGGGGGCACCAGGAGGCGCGTCCTTCGATGTGTGATAACAATCTCTAGCGGTGTAAGCGGTTGGGAGATCCCTGCGTGCTGTTCCAGTAGCTGGATACACGGGCGCCAGAAGGGTAGCGTGGAAGCACTGTCTCTCTTCGCTCATATGATAGTTTTTGAAGGTGGAGCGAATTCTTGCATGCTCATGGACACCGGCTAGGACTCCCGAGAGTCTAGGGCCAATATGTGCGTGCGTGCGGGAATGTCTCCAGTGTGCGTCAATTGTATGGCGGCAATGTCCACGACCCTATTTCAACCACCATCCAACTGAACGCTAGACGCCGATTTGCCTAACCTTCCAGGAGAGGTATTGAGGGCCGGTAACCCCCAGTTTCCTAGCCCAGCCTCTTCGCTTCGTTTTTTTTTTTTTTTTTTTACTGCCAATGAACGAAGTTGCATTGAGCTAATTTCAGGCTTTTCCAATTGGTCAGTCCTTTTGGAGAGTTAGCGATGCATGGGCTGCAGGAGGATGGAAAGAAATTCTGCAAGATGCGATGTATTGTAGCAGCAACCTCGAGATATGCACGACTGTAGAAGCGTCTGGGGAGTGGCTTCGATACTCTCGTATGATGCCCAAATATAAACACGTTTGAAGCAAATTGCAGTTAAAGTCTTGAAGATCAATGCATGAAAAGGCCTAGAAATGCTAGAAAATATAATACATGCCATGCTACCATTCTAGCCCGGAACCCAGCCGGAAAGCAAAAGGTTAAGGCACGTGTCTGTGTAAGAAAAGCAAAAAGATACTATACATACAACGAACAAATCTATACTACATTACAATGGTATCCATAGCCGCAAAGTTGGATATCGGATATCTAGGTATACATGACGCTGTGGTGGTAGTTACAAAATATAGACATGTAGACAACGGTTAAAGACAGCAAAAACCTCCAAAATATATGTTGATACGTATCAACTTCACAATTCTGGTGACATAGAATTGATTGGTGACCGACATAAACCAGAGAATCGATGGTGGAATTGTATCTTGCATCTCCTTGCACCTTCTTGAAATGCAATTTATGATTTGGGGATGAACGAAGCGAACCATGGTAGGCGTAGAGCGCTTTCCGGATCGGACGCCAATGGATGGAGATGGTAACTTCGCTTCAACACACAGCATATTGCGTTCATGTTAATCAGTTTCCCTTGGGGAATTGACACGCTGTCGAAGGTGATAATGAAGCGGATGCTGAAATTACTTAGGTGACTTTCAGTCTAAAATTCCGAATTGAGCGAGGGTAGGCCGTATCTGAATCAAGGGACGCAGCCTCCAGTGTATGAGCAGCCAGGGCTCGTTCATGAGTCAAGGTAAGCGGCAGGGTCAACGTCTAGCCAATAACGAGTTTCCATAGGCGAAATAGCACCAGAGTATTCAGAAAACTCGGACTGAAAATCAGGAGATAGTTTCAGGCGGAGTGTGGCAACAGATGGGAGTAATAGATGTGAATTCTTGGGATACAAGCCAGGATCAATAGTCCCCCAGCCTTTTCCAAGAAAGATCATGATGAGGCGTTCATGTAACCGATCCCAGCAGATAATATGCCCCGTGTCTCTCCACTTCGAAATATCACCAGTTGTACTGTTGACCCCGCCTTCAGCAGAGCCTCGCCTTCTCTCGCAGACGTAACCGAGCTGCATTAGATAAAGCTTTCTCATACTCAATGGAATTGGTTTGCCGTCTATATCGTGAAAAGCACGGATTAAGCCCAATGATGATGGAGTTTGTGGGCCAGCTATATTGTAAGGTGATGGCGGAACATTATTGGAAAACTCAATGGGGCAGCATTGGGGCAGCCACGCAAACTCGTGAACTTGGCCTAGGTAATCCTTTGTAGAACCAAGGGGAACTTCGATGCCCTCAAAATCATGTAATAGGTTAGCGACCCTCGCAAGCTCCTTGGTCGATCTAGAAGAACCATAAAGTTCTATTTCTCTAAAGAGTCGCTTTATACAACCTAATGAGCCGGATTTGTTAGAATCGGAGTCGAGGCTTGGCAGCATCGCATCCGCAGGCCACTGATCCCACCATGGATCCGTATCAGTTGTCTTAAGATGGCGCCCTCCGCCGTCAGGATCCCAGGTGATACCAAGGCTAGTTTCCATGGAAGTGAGCGCCTCAACCATGATCACATTCATCGTCTGGCTTGAAACCAATTTCAGTAACCCCTCGCTGTTTTCCTGTTCAAGCAATTGTTTCCACATCGACGCCGGTAAAAAATCGTTTAGATTGGAAATGGCCGACAATTGTTCTGCAAAATAAGCCGCTTCGTAACCGAATCCCGATCTGAGAAGGGCGGCCAGGTAACTCGTTACAAAGGTTCGGACATGGCGATCGGATGGACTCTCTGTGAACCTATCCCGAACTGTAGGCCAGATGTCTAGTAATCTTCTAGAGCCTCCGATAATCCCAAGAAGTTGAAAATAGTAGCTATAGATATAACGTAGGCGAACATAACCGGACATAGAGAGCAAGGAAAATAGGTTTGGCTGTATTGCCGAACCATACTCGTCTAAACCAGTGACAAGTTCTCGCATCGGACCCAAATCGATCATAGGGCTTTCAAAAATACTCATTTGACATGATAAGTAGAGGTAGCGGAGGAGTCTTCTAGCCGAGTTCCTAGGTAGTGGACCATGTCCAGCAGCGACATAGCTGTGGAGATAAGACCGAAGCGCTGGTGCGGAAAAATGTTGAGCAGCGGCGTGCATGCCAAGGATATGAAGTTGTTTCGGTACTCTGACCTTCAGCAAGGTAAATCTTGCAACAAGGGCATTCACCGTTGACAGAACTCTGGCTAGGTCTTCAGATTTGCCAGAGTACGTCAATGGGCCGATGATGGCATCATCGGATCTCCAGTATTCGCGGGCTACCTGGGGAGAGAAAATATATTTTTCACAAATGGCTTCGAATTTCGGCAATTCCGTCGGAACCATTAAATATTTGGGGTCAATTCTATCAACAACGGTAAAATGTCTATTGAGGCTTTTGCGTTTCGAGGGGTCTGTGTTGAAAATGGTCCAAGTCTCAGGCAAATCCGGGTTAGAGAATGCCTCGAGCATATATCCTTCGAGAGTCTCGGAGAAATATCTGTTGGATGATGTTTTTAGAGTCCCCGTTAAAGCATATCGGAGCAATTGAGACGCCGAAGGTTCCGGCCGCGGCGTTGACCTTCGTATATGGCGCAGGAGTTTATCAAAGGTCACCAGCCGGGGCGGTAGTGAGCTAGAGGCGTAGCGACAAAGACGAGGTTGCGGAGGGAGCCATGACCGGCAGATCAAAGGACTGGACATGAGGACGTCTCCTCTCTCTCTATCTCTCTCTACGAAAGTTTCATAGGGAGACGATCAGGGGAAGATGGGGTCCATATTGTTGAAGCTGAAGTTTCGCAGGAAAATCGAGAGTTGGAGATAAAAAAAACGGATTGTGACTAAAATTACCGCGCCGGGGTTCGCGGAAACCGTGCTAGTCCTAAAGCGGCAACTCCCCCCAACATGCCCTGGGTCAAACCTTTGCACCAAAACCTCGAACCGTCAATCGTCGACTAGGATATGTTCTAGCTATTAGTTATATATCCACAACTTCTGAATTTCCATCAAACAATAGCTGGGAATCTGTTAGTAACAACGCCTGTGGTTAAACCCGAACCCCTCTTTTCTCTCGTGCAATCACGCCGGACCAAGATACCCAACAACTTGGTCGAGCTGTGGCCCTAACGTACGGAACCAGTGACACCAGCTGCCATGGACAAAGCCGGGGTGCAGAAGGCGAATAGCAACTCTCCTACATGTCCTGAAGAGCATCCCATATCAGATGATGCGAAGACTTTGTCAGCAGAACCTGAAACCAATAAGACAGTAGATGCTGCTTTCTCTAGGACTAAGGAAATGAGAGAGCGTTTCAAAGCACTTCAAGCAAGAGCCGTGAGTTTTCATCCGTCGCGTAGCTCCCATTGATAAATTCAGGGACATGCTGATTATAAAGTAGAAAAATGCCACGGAAAGGAATCTGAAGGAAACGGCAGCCGAATCGCAACGTCTAGCTACTGACCCTAGCCTTCTCTCCAGTATCTCCCGGAAGCATGCCTTTGCATCGCATAACCTTCTCAAAGCAGATACTGAATCACAGGGCGAGGATTTCGAGCGAAAGCGTGCTTGGGACTGGACTATCGATGAGTCTGAGAAATGGGACAAACGCATGGAAAAGAAACAGAGACACAGGGACGATACCGCTTTCCAAGACTATCGCCAAGATGCCCGAAAGATCTACAAGAGGCAGATGAGGCAAATGCAGCCAGACCTTGAGGCGTATGAAAAGGAGAAAATTTTGGCCGTGGAAAAAGCTGCCGCAAGCGGTGGACTACAGATAGTGGAAGCAGAAGATGGCGAGCTTGTTGCGGTTGATAAAAATGGCACCTTCTACTCTACGGCCGATTCAGTAGATTTCGCGGAGAACAAACCAGACCGCGCCGCGGTTGATAGATTGGTGGCGGACTTGAGAAAAGCAGAGGAGATTCGCCTGAAGAAACGTAAGGACCGCGGCCGGGGCGACGAAGAGGATGATGTTACCTACATCAATGACCAGAATAAGAAATTCAACCAACAATTGGCGAGGTTTTATAACAAGGTGCGTTGGAGGCGTATTTTATAAACAGTACTTCTTGCTAACTTTTATTGTTTAGTATACTGCGGAAATTCGAGACAGTTTCGAACGGGGTACCATGATTTGAGAGAATATTTATTGTACAAGCGAGAAGAGAATCGTCTTTCTCCGCAACACCGGATTCAAAGGAGAAAGGCAATGGCCCCAGATCAAAGCATAGATCTTCTCCAACCCTTCGTTGCTAACGTCTCAATCTTTTTGGGTCCTACAACACCTTGGACATCATCATCACCAATTGCCTCCACGACAGCCTCGCCCACAATATTGACGTTTAGCGGCTTTGCAGTCATCATTCCCAAAAACGAGAGCCTTCCTCCAAGAAGCGCGTTCACTTCCGATCCTACGATCCCGCCCAGCGCAATGGGTAATGTAAGCTTGCGCGATGAATCGTACATGAAAGTCGGTCTTATAAAAATACTGCGGAGGCCAGGGAGGTTGGAAGATACGAGAGCCTCGGCATCCCTTTTTGACGTGATGTATCTTTCCGGAACTACTGGAGCTCCGGCTGCAGCTGATATGAAGGCAAAGGTCGGAACATGCTCGTAGGAGGCTTCTTGCGCGAGAGCGACAGCTTTTGCAGGAAAGTATTAGCATAGTTAACGGCACTATAAAAAAAATGAAAATGCAAGTTCCAAACCAACCAGAGTCCCGATTCATGAGCTCATATGTCAATTGGCCACCTGCTTCTTTGGCTATCAATTCTTCTCCCTCTTGCCTTTGTAGCGGATTTTGGCTTCCGGGCCTAGAGGATGCGAACAATTTCTGTAGCCCACTAATTACTGATTCTCTCCCTTGTACAATGCCCTTGTAATCCGCTTCTAAAAGTATTCCCATGGAATGGACGACCGCGGACGCTTCTTTGAGGAACGGCTTATAGGTGGCGGGTTTTAGAATATCGGCTTTTGCCCATTCAACAGACTTCGCCCACCGTGGCGCATGCGAGGACGAGGTAATAGTTTCCCAGGCTGGTTCACCGTGTCGACTAAAATATAAAACGAATCATTAGTATGATTTCTGGGTGTAGGGCGAGTAGTCAGGTTAGCTTAAAAGGACGAATTACCTCAATGATACTACATCCCATCCTCGAGCCACAGCTGATTTGCATATTCTAGAGCCTATATCGTCAGAGTCAGGTAAACTGGTTAACACGGAACTTGCAATCCCGTTGTGATATGACAGCTATATATTTACCTAGAAATCCGCTGCCGCCTGCGACCACAATTCTCTTCGTCACCGCCATTGGTATTAATTTAGACCGTAGGCGTCAGTATATTATCACCAATTATTTTATTATTATTGTGTACTTAAATGTTTTTCGGAGCTGTAGGAGCTCATTTGCAGCGATATCATTGCTCCCGTCAAGCTGGTTCATCGAGCTTCTGTATCACGTGACTTAAAGTTAAAGTCGGCGATTGTTGAGAACCCAAACCTAAAACCTCCATCACGCTTCTCACGCAGAACTCTTTGAAGCTACTACTAAACACTGAGCTAACTTCATTCCTCCTGCTCATATCTCTGTTTAAATAGCCTTTGGAAAAATGGCTCCCCCAACGGGCACAAAGCGCGTTCGCGTGAGTCTACGCCGTAAAGTCCGCAGCTGCCTAACTACCGCTCGTGATGCTAACTTATTTCGCAGGGAATCTCAATCTTTAGACCGTTCGGTATGTAATAATTTGTACAGACACGCTCCTTCATTCACCGACTCTCGTTCTTCCTCGTCTAACGGTCAAGTTCGCAGTTTTCGGAAGCGAAGCGCAGCCCTTTGACCCTGCAAAACGTCCTCCCAACGCCCCTGAAGACCACACCCACCAGTGGCGCGTATTCGTCAAAGGAGTCAACGATGAAGACATATCATACTGGCTAAAGAAAGTGCAGTTCAAACTGCATGAGACCTATGCACAGTGCGTGCGCACCATAGAATCGCCGCCGTTCGAGGTCACAGAGACGGGGTGGGGCGAATTTGAAATTCAGATCAAGTTATATTTTGTTGCGGAATCGACAGAGAAGCCGCAGACGCTATGGCACAGCCTAAAATTGCACCCGTATGGGGATGACATCGAGGGGAAAAAGGAGAGGCGAGACGTTATTGTGGCTCAGAATTATGAAGAGGTTGTGTTCAACGAGCCTGTTGAGCAGTTTTATGATCTTCTTACGGGCGGGTCGGGAGTGGTGCAGCACCAACTTCCTAAGGGGAAGACAGGGAAGGGAGCTAAGCAACCCCAACCACAGCCAGGGAGGACGGCGGAGATCCCGTACTCAGATAGCCCGAGGAACCCTTATAGTCAAAAGACAGAAGCGAAGGAGCTGGATAGACTGGCTGAGGCCCTTAAGACTGTAGATCAGATGCTTAAAGAACAGAAGGCGAAGCTTACGGAACGAGAAGCTAAGTTGGATGAGTTGAGGAAGAGCGAGGGTGTTACAGCCGTTGTGAAAAAGAAATAGACGTTTTCTCTTGCCCTTTTGTTTTCATGCAAATTCGAAGGATATCGAGGCATTGGAATAATGGGCGAGAAATCTCGCATCTGACCAGCTCTGGGTATGCTCCGTCTAACTAGAGATTCTATTACTTAACAGTTCCCCTAATAGCAGGTTCCCTATTCCTGTCTCAAGGTCGAAGCGCGACGAAACAGTATCGCTCTGGCATCTATCCGTATGGAAGATTAAAAACCGAACGTCGAAATTTCATATTTATTACTGACCCGCCTTCTACGCTGGCCCTTAAGGAATGCCGAACCGATCCCTTCCAAAAATGTTCGTTGGTGCCAATTTGACATAAATGTCGATTTCACGCACATTTCTATCCGCTTAACAACTATTCAACAATCACGCCCAAACACACAAACACACAAAAAACCCACAAAAAACCCACAATATTTCCCCTTCATCCCCATCTTTGGAGGATCCAATCTACAGTGGTTGAGTTCTCCGGCTCCATCGAAGCTCTATCATCATCTGAACAGTTCCAGACGCACGAAGGGATTTCTGGAATCAATTGGCCATGTAGCGGCCGCATGTACTCACTTCTACTGCAGAAACCCTCGTCTGTTTCCGACGGCCATTACACCCTCCATTTAATATTGAGCCTCTCCTGTGTTCTACGAGATGCGGTTTAATATTATTTGGGAGAAAATCTTTGCTTAATCAAGGTATAGAGTTCTGCTAGAGCTCTTGCACCGAATCAGGCGTACATATATCTATCCGGCCTTCTATTGGCGGTTCTTGTGATGGACATGGCCATGTTTCTAAAACAAGTACAATAAAGGCGAACGCCCCACACTGAAAGTTTTAAATCCAAGGAAGAGAGCGCTTCAGAGACGAAACCCAAAAGAATAATAGAAAATCTAACAAATCCGCAGCTGAAGAAATCTAACTCCATGACATTGGACATCGCCAAAGCTATATTTCATTCCACAGTCTCTCGTATATGCGCGATCAATCCCGCATTCCCAATCCAAATCAAAAATCTACTCCTTCGCCCCAAACACCTTTACTCTCTCCTCCAACGGCTTAAATGTCTTCTCCATTGGTTCGCCCGTTGCAGTGCCGAAGACCATCTGTGCGACCTGCTCCCATTCAGTAGGGATGGACCATGCCTTAGCAACCTCCTCGTCGATTATGGGGTTGTAATGTTGCAAATTTGCGGCGAGGCCGACTGATCGAAGGGCTAGCCAAACTACATAACAATGGGCTATTAGACATATGGGGTTTTCAAGCCTGACGCAATGGCAGAACATGCGAAAGGGATCTTTCAGATAAGACATAAGAGTGGGAAGGAGGGGGGTTTACGAACGGTAGTATTGATGCATGGCACTCGTATGCTGTGTCCAGGGGTGAAATCGATCTGCATACGCCGGGAATTTCTCTGCCAGAGGCGCAATATGTGCTGGGTCTTCGAAAAACAGAATCTACATGCGCGCAAACAGTTTAATTATGTGAATTTTGCGGAGAACAGGCAAAAGAGAGAAAGTACATACGGTCCCATATGCTGCCCTAAATCCCTCCAACTTGGGCTTTGTATGGTTCTCCCACATTTCCTTCGGCACTTTTCCCGACGCGACCATCCCTTCTTCGAATGTCTTGGACGCTAGATCCCACAGCTTCGTATGCTCCTCATGCAGGAGCAGCACGAGGCGAGTGGACTGTGTGTTGAAACTACTTGGCACGTGCAGGATGGCACTGTTGACGAGTTCCTGGATCTCCGAGTCTGGTACTGGGCTCGAGGCGGACAGCTGATAGACTGAGCGGCGAGCTTTGGCGAGTTCTATCAAGCCAGCGGTGGTAGCGGCGGGGACGAGGGGTTTAGGCGTGGCTACAGTCATTTTTCCGGGGCCTGTTTTCGGCACTGGCACTGGTGTTGGAGCTGTGGAAGATTGGCGGATTTGAGAGAACAGAAAGACAAGTGCCGCTGAGACTCTAGACGGGTATGAATTGGTGCTTGATAGGAAAGGACGATATACGGGAACAATCTAGGGATATCGGGAGGAAATGAACTCGTTTGAAGCTGCTTGGTTTAAGGGGAAAAAATATTATGAGGAAGTTAGGGAAAGGAGCTGTCTTTTAAAAGAACAAATTGTGTGTAGGTCCCCGCGGCGCGGCATGGTGGCGCGCTCCATCGCAAGAGTTTATCAGAAACTCAGAAGGAAACATTCAATTATTCATAACTGACAAATTGGCCATTTTCAGCGACACAGTAGAAGAAAATGAAAGCGGAAAGGGCGGGCGCCGCATATACCGCCGGAATTGCTTATACCCCGACTCCCAAACGGCTTTGGACATTCATTCCGGGCTTGAAGGGAAAAAATTTCGGCCCGGCGCTAAAACGATCTCTAAGCGCGTTATCATCCATCCCACACGCCAGATGGCATTACCAATGCTTAACAAGCCTAAGTCCATCCGTGTGACATGTACATGTACTTGGCGGACAGTAAAAGTAATCATTAAAAATCAAAAATGTATGAAGCTAAAATAATTACTAATTAAATACAATCTTATTATTACGCAATATTAGTGATTCTAATAGTTAATTGATATTATCACTCTTACCAAAGCGGTTACGAGTTTGACCCGGCTTCATCAAGTTACCGTGCACAGAGTGTACAAAAACGCTTCTTAGAGAATAAATCTCACCGTTGGCTAAAAGAGCACTTGCACCGAATCTTGCATATAATAATCATCGAGGTAGAATTAATAGTAAATATTATAGCTACTATGTAGCACAAGCAGGTTAATAAAGAAAAAAGAAAAAATAGAAAAGGGGGAGAGAAACGAAAACGAAAAGGCCTCCAAACTCGACCGACCAGAACAAAAGCCATTAGAAAAGAAAATCTAATATACATCAACTACCCTCTTAGCCAAAGGGGCAGGCAGACAGTCTTTCTGAACGTTCATTATTCCAATGAACCCGCCGGTATTACCGTAAAGATGGAGGTACACCCCTCCTTTCCCCAGTCATTACTATATCTTCCCCTCCGCAAACGTATGGAAGTCACCCCGCAGCCCTTGTAACGAACATTCGCTAGGCCCCTGATCCTGATGGGTCCCTCTGTACCACCCGTCTTCAATGAGTCGACTTTCCGTTTCTCGCCAATACTGCAGCTTCCCGCCGATTCCACTCTTGAAATCAAGATCTCCCAGACGTGCTTCGAGCGGTTCATGTTCGTCATGTGGAACCTGAAAAATAGAAGGTCAGCCATAGCGTACTACCATTTTCTTCTTCTGGTGATGCCAGCCACTTACCCTAACAAACATGGTGCAGTCCCTCAGCGTCATGGAAATTGCACGTTCCCGGATATGTGCCCGTAAACCAGGGAGGCCCACTGCATTCATCTGGCGCTGACACTCCTGAAGTTTAAGTAGGGTGCTATTTCGATGCAAGAACGCGGCGACACGCTCTCTCCCATGACCTCCACGAATAAATCGTGTTGCGCGCAATACATCCTCAAAGCTATCCGAAACTAAATCAAGCGGGCAAAATGACTGCTTTTCGGAGCTGCCAGCTTTTCGTGCATTATAGTTTTTCATCTCTCGCAACGCACAAGTCCTGCATCGTTTTGCATCGGGCGGCGCTGATGGCGACTGAAGCAACCACTTCGGTTTGAATTCCCACAAGCATTCGCCTGACCCTGGTGCAGGAGTCATGTCAGTGATCATTAAACCGAAGGGCTCCTTGACGGATAAGTAAACACCAAAGCGTCCTTTTGGGCGTAAATTGCGCGCTTCATCTACACGGAGCTGTTCGTTGCAATATGCTATGAATCCTTTAGGGAGCCTAACAAGTTCCTGGTCGACCAATTCGTGATCATCAAACATAGGTCTGATGTAGCTATCAAAGTTATTCATGGTGTCGGGGTAAGGCGTGCCCGAACCGATCTGCTTCCGCAGCCGCAGCAATTTCCTGCTATTCTGCTGTTGCCCGTACCCATTTGTCGTAGCTGCTGGAGCATGGTTATTGGGAACCGTAAACTTGTAGACTATATTAGCGCCGCCTTCGGCAAGATAGGACGGTTGAGTGCCAGGAGGGATTTCCGGAAAGGTATGCGCTGCGGTATCAGAGGTTTGGGACGTAGTGTTATCTGATTTTAGGTGGCCCATTCCTGTTAAGTTGCCGCGGCATGCCTTTGTGCTCTGCTTCCCCAGTCCACCGTGTGGTTGCGAGGGGGTACGAGTGTGGGATGGCTCTCGATGTCGACAAGTGAAGTTCACGATAAATAAAAGAGCGGACAAGCCAAGGATGACGATTAGGCCGACCATTTGGAGATAGCCAATTGCTGGCAACAAATGAACCAATAAACCAACTAATATTCTTTCAATGCAAGTTCTTAAAAGACAGAATGGCTTGCGAAGGGGGAGTCCTGTGTCGCAACAGCTACTTGAATTGGTTCTGCCAGCCCACTTAATAGATGCCAACTCCAGTATATAAGACCTTTGTCCCAGCGCTGCGCAACCTATTTACCCCTTTCTCGGATTGAAGTCGTCAACCCCGGTAAACCATTGCTATTTATGTAAGGAGGCGCAAATGTTTTTTGTTGGGGAGGGCCAGATGTGACCCGGCCAAAACCCCGAAGACACACAAGGGCTTGGGATGTGACGAGGAATATTGGAGTATGTCGATATAACTCCCCTGAAATCTGAGGACCGCGGCACAAGAAAAGATGAATATCTCGGGGGGTAGAAAAGAAAAAAGAGGAAGAGAGAAATGGTATATCACAACAACAACAACAACAACAACAACAACAACAATAACAACAACAAATACACTCCGTCTATGTAGGTGCGCAGAGCTCGTTCACGGGAGGAAGCAGCACCCTCAATGCGGTAGGCAGACAGGAGCAAAATCCGGTCGTGTAATCAGCCGCTCCGCCGAGCAAGAGGGATCATGCAGCAGATGCCGGGCGTAACGCTGGTGAACCGGGTGGTCCAACAGCCCGCGAAGAGACAGGCCA